ATTGTTTCTGAATAGTGGTTCTCTGCAGATACTTCTTCCTCTGATAGAATTTTTTGTTTTTTATCTTCACCGATTTCCCATAAAATTGGGAGTTCTTCGAGATTAATAACATTACAAATTATTTTGTTTTGAGGTTTGGACTTTGCATTAAATTGTTTTTGAGAATGCGTGACTCGTCCTGACAAAATCCACCCCAAGTCGGTTTCTTGAAACACGGCTGTTTGATTGTTCACCCTAATTTGTCCAGTGCGCAATAATTGATAAAAATACTCTGCACCAATCAAAATATCTATTTCTCTTGAATCGTGGAAAGAAGGATCTGCTAAAAAGATACCTTCAGGAACGTTTATTGACCTTCTATCGAGAGGAACACAAGGCATTGCTTCAGAAATTTCCTGGAAGATTAGAAACTTCATATATAGATTGGAATTATCATAGCGAGACTTGATTTGGCTAGACACCGAGCGAGAAATTTTTGATTGAAGATTTTCTACTCCTCGCAATTTGATATCAATCGAGTTTTGAGAAAGACATAACCTTTCAGCAAATTTAGCTGTGATAGCATTACACTGTGAGCAAGAATCTAGAAGAGCACGACAAGGCTGATATTTACCTTTACCATCTAGAATATCTATAACAGCTGTTCCTAAAAGTACCTGGGAAGGGCCTTTGTCTTCAAATTTGACAAGAGACGTTGTAGTTGATGGAATGTCTTTACTTTCCTCAACCTTTTCCTTTTCAAAGTGCAACATAGTGTGATGTTTTTGATAACACTTATGGCAACCTTCCTTTCGACAATCATTAGTCTTGTGGTTCGAGAAAAAACAATTAAAACAAATTGAAGCCTTCTTCACTACGTCATATCTTTCCTTGGGAGATAGATTTTGAAATTGCTGACAAGTGTAAAGCATATGAGGTTTCTGACAAATTGGACATGAAAATTTGAATTTTGGTTTTTCATTCTGAACCGTGGTGGTGAGACAGGTTGAACCCTTTCCTGAATTTTTGACCTGATTTTTAGAAACATGTAATTTGGACATTGTTTGAGTCCCTTCAATTAAAGCACGCTGTTCTAAAAAATCAGTCATTTTTTTAAGTGAGGGAAGTTGAGTGCTACCAACTGATTCTTCCCATTTTTCGCGATTGTAGTTGTTAAGTTTCATGCGTAAGATATAAATGAGGAGAGTGTCCCATTGTTCGACAGGTTGATCGAGAGCCCGAAGTGCCCGATAGCGTTTTTGAAAATTATCCAATAAGGATCTAACCGAAACTTCTTTCGATACTGTTGAAAGTTCAAATAAAGCATGCACATGACTTTCAACAATAAATTTCCGATTGTCGAATCTTTCTTTTAAAAGATTCCACGCTACATCGTAATTACTCTCAGTGGTTTCGAGCGAAGAAATTACTTCGGCAGCTTCCCCGGTCAAACATGCTTTCAGATAGTGGAATTTTTGGATAGGAGAGATAGATTGATTGTCGTGACACATGGATTTGAAGGAATCGTGGAAGGTTAACCAGGTGTCGAAACTACCTTCAAAGGTAGGAGTTTTGATCTTGGGAAGTTCGAAGCGTGCATGTGCTTGAAATTGGCTTTGATTCATACGCGAATGTGCTGAATTTTGAGTTTCGGTTTCTCGAGACAGTCCTAAATGAGTAGTATTGTCAACCACTATTTGATTGGATGGATTGCTACCATTATTTGTGAAACTATTGTCTGAGTGAATTGATTGTGTCGGACTAATTTCTGAAACGTTTAACTTTTGAATATGTTTTTGATACAACGCGCTTATTCGATGGAATCTATTTTCAAAATCTGTTCTTTCGCTGAACTGTGATTCCATTTCTACCTCGTCGGTCAAATTATCAATTTTAGTTTGTGTGATTTCAAATCGATCCCACAATGTTAAATGATTTTGCAAACGAACATGTAAATTTAAAGTTTGAAGATCGGTATCTGAATTAATTCCCGAGAGAATAGTTTCCGAAGATGTTAAAGCTCGTTTGATGTTACCTCTATCTTTACGCAAGGGTTTGATTTCTTCTTCAGTTGCCATTTTCTTTTGTCGATTTTTGATTTAAGAAAAGGTAATGAAATTGTTGTAAAGATTGAAGCATAAAAATAATATAGATTTAAAACAAAAGGAAGGAATTGGAAGTAGTTTTCTGACTTACACTTCCATTGATGTTTTTTAAAGATGCAACCTCTGGATCAGGCCTTAAAGATGTTTTCTCGGTAGGTTTGAAGATGGAACTTCTGGATCACGCCTTGAAGATTGTTTCTCGATCGTGAAAGAGTTGAAGTGATTGACGTCCAAACTCGAATAAATTGATTAGATTGAACAATGATTAATTCAATCCAATTAAAAGGTTTTGAAAAACACAAAAACCTTTTTAAAGCGCGACTTTGAACCTTTCGTGTAGAGTCCTAGTAGATTTCACTCGTTGTTTTGCATTTGCATATGTAGAGTTCTACATACAAAACGAAACACTGTTAAATTTCACAGCAATATTAGTGTAATGTTCACTGCCGATGATAATTATTTGAATTTAATAGTTCGATGAATCAGTGTCTCGAAAACGCAACTGTTATTAAAATGTTTATTCTCTCACTAGGACGCGAACATTTAATCACTAAAAATAAATTTTCATTTCTTTTCAAAGTTTATAGGATCACTGCTCACTAAGTTTTTGATAGTATCCGGCTCGAAGGACCATATTTTGTTTGGGCTTTGAAAGAAAATCAAATATTTTAGCGAATTAAATTTTTACATATTTTATTGAAGCAAATTACTGTACATAAATATGAAACTTTAATTGATATGAAAGGTGAATATTTAAATTCTAATGTTTTGCGCGCAGTGACTCACAATTGTGTATTGCTCGAATCATGGTCACTTGGATTCTGATCCCTTTAGACAGGCATTCGACAGACAAACGCAGTAATTTACAAATTTGGCAACATCGGAATTTTGGGATTTCTAAAGTTTTAAAAATATGACAACGTCGCTTATAAAAGTTTGTGAAACTTAGGTAAAAACGGTTGGTAAGTGCAATAAATGACGTAGCGCTCAATTGTCGTTAACATGAAGATCTCAGTACCAGATATGCAAAGGGTCAAAAAGAGGTACATACCGACGTTCAGGTAGTCCAATATTAAGTAAAAGTTTCTCAAATTTAGTTTTTAGTTAAAAGTTTTCGTAAGAGAAAAATAAAATTACAAAAATATTAAATATTTTACAAAAAATAATTTAATTATTGTTACTCCGTAACATAAATGGAATATTCAAAGCTAATAAATAAATATTTGAATCAATTATGAAAATTATTTCATTCAATACTGCATGTTTTTTGATTCAAATAAATATTTATTTGCATTAATAAAATATTTTTCTTGAAACAACTAAAAATTTTCTTGAATCAAATATTCGATTATTTGTCATAAGTAATTGTTTTAATTGAAACTAAAACCTCTTTAATTGCGGCAATTATTATTTTATTTGATCCAAATACATAATTTATTTGCAAAAAATGTAAGAATTTTTTGATTCAAATCAATCACAATTTGAATTGAATAAATATTATTTATTTACTAATTCTTCCATTTCTAAATTAAAATCTTACTCAAATAAATAAATTAAAAAATATGTCATTTCTGCATACTATGATCGCATATTTTCATTTTTCAACTAATTCATACATAGAATTAATGATTAAACGCAAACCTGATAAATAAATAAATCTAACGTATGGGGGGAATCGAACCTACGGCCTACGGATTATGAGTCTAACGATTTACCAACTACGCTACGTGAAAACGAATGTTATCTTCTTTATGTCATTTAAACTTGCAAAAGACCTAACTCAGAAAAGTGCTTAACATCATTTAGTTAAAATTAAGATATTAAATTATATTTTCCAATTAAATGCAATTTATAAAATATAATTAATTATATGCTTCATGATTATTATCATGAATCATATCAGGTGAATTTTCAAAAAAAGGGTAAATATATTTTTATTAAAAACGCGTTTTTCGTTGTTCTGAATCATTGTAATCATTAATTTTTTGTTGATGAAAAAATATTTGACTTTTGGACTTACAATATTAAATAATATATATCATTATCAAATAAGTATCAAATAAGTCATTATTATCATTACACTTAAATATTTAATTGATCAAAATATTTTATTTTCCTTTAATAAAATAGTGTATTAACATTAAATAACACATTATTTATATTAAATAATTTAATTAATTAGAATTAATAAAGTTATTGTATAAAATACTTTTTATTTGTATGAAAAAAATGAAATATTTGAGTGAAATAAATTAATTAATAGTTGCAAGTAACTCATTATTTTCATTTCAAATAAATATTTAATTGATTAAAATATTTTTTTATTTGTCTTGATAAAATAGTGTATTAGGATTAAATAACGAATTGTCTGTATTAAATAATTCAGTTTATTTGAATCAATTACATACATTTATTGTGTCAAATACTTTTTATTTGTATCAAATAAACGAAATATTGGAGTGAAATAAATGAATGAATAGTTTCAAGTAACTCATTATTTGTATTAAATAAATTCATTTATTCAATTCAATTAGTTATTTAATTGAACCAAATTCGATGTATTTGGTTCAAGTAAATTCGATTCAAATAATACAAGTTATTTAAATCAAATACATATTTTTTTGATCCAAATAAAAAGTATTTGAACCAATTAAATATTTTTCAAATAATTTGAAGTATTTGAATCAAATAAATTTTTTTTTTCAGTGCACATTAAACAATTTTTCCAAAAGTAATTTTCCAATGCAACTTTTTGCTAACAATAAGAAATATATTTTGAAAATTTTTCTTTTATAATTCCATTATTATTATTTAAATAAATAGTAAGGATGAAATTTGAGAAAAAATAAAATGTAAATAATTTTCAGTAAAATTGTAGAAAAAAAAATGAACTAAAGAGGAAAAGAATGGAATTACCTTTTGATTCCTTTGGTTGCAGCTTCGCCGAAGCTTCGCACATCATGATAATCCAAATTTAAAGGACCTGTTGGACTGTATATCAGCCGTTTTGCCGGTAAATTAATAGGTAACACTGCACTGCTACTAACAAGGCCAGCATCGATTTGAGCCGCAGCAAAAAGGACAGTTTTGAAAGGTTCCGGTTCATCGGTTCCTGCAGCTCTTCCCGACACCAAAATAATACCATCGTAATCATTGCTCACAATATTTGTTTCAATTTTCAATTGACAAGGCATCCATCTGCAAAATTTTATTGAAAAAAAAAATCATTTACAAATTATTCGCATTTAATTAATTTAATATGATCCAATACATTAATTAAAATTAATTCTATTATAATTCAAAAATTATTTGAATCTTGTAAAACATAAAAAAAATTCTTGTTTTTGTAAATTATTTATCTAAATTAAAATTGTAAACAGAAAAATTCCAGTGATTTAAGAATGAAAGAAAGCTCAAAATATAAAATATTGTTCTTGTATCAAATTAAATTAGATGTGTTTTGAAATGTTTCCAATTTTCAATCAGTGGCATTTCTGAGGAAAAGCATTGGATGTATACACTGAAAGAAATTTCATAGGAAAAAATAACAAAATGCGTATTACATTTTAATATATTCTTTTAGAATTTAGGGAAAAGTGTACTTTTTATTAAAATTCAATATACTTTATATTAAAGTTCCAACTTAAAATCTTTTTTCAAATATTAATAATTATTGTAGAAAGAACGTAAAAAGATTACCAATATTTGAAAATATTATATTAAATTCTCATAGAGTTGTTGCATTATATGGAATGTAGCGTTCTAATATTTGTAAAACTTTATACGAAAAATTCAGAATGTCGGAAGAAAAGGGAAAAAAAGTGGAAACTCGGACGTTTCCGTTAATTCTCGGGAGGAAGAGGAGTGAGACTAGGAACAACACATTCACACTTACGATACAGGTTAACACACATACTAATGAACACGCACGTTCATTTCGCTTATACATAGACATTACACGATCGCAACGAAACCTACACTTACAATTCTATACGCATAACGATAAATTTCGCTGGGGGTCGGCATATATCGTTTTCTTATATACTAACTACTGAATATTTTTACCACTTGCGAGAAAGAAGTTTACTTATAATAACTTAATAATAAAAAATAGTTTACTAGTGCCAATGGTGTAATTTTATAGAGGTTACGCTGGGTTCATTTTTATTATTAATTGTTTATATAGATTTTTCTTTTTTTTCAGATTAAAAATTATGATTGTTATAAAAATTTTTATTGCAAATAATAATCAAATAATTGTAAAGATGACATCAAAAAATAATAATAAATTTAATAATTATAAATGTTTTCTGTGGCACTATAAACATTTGAAACACGTGTGTTGACAGTTGATAGGTACGTTCTGCTGGTTAACAACACTTTCGAAAATCGGATCAAGTCGTAGAAGTTCGAGTAGGACACGAAGCCGCAAACAGACAGAACTTCGGTTAAATTCGTAGTCTCTCGGGAAAATCCGTGACTTTTAATATAAAGTTTTACAAAATGTGAAATAAGTATACGGATATATGTTATTTTTCTTACTATTTTGTGAAATTATTTATTATAATATTTCGTATTCTGTGAATTCATAAAGAAAATACTAATTTTTAAAATAAATATACTAATTTTTATTTCTTAAAATAATAGTTACTCTTAAATTCATTATATATTTTCATAAAAACTGTAATAGTAATCAGTATAGGTGCACTTTTTCCCTAAATTGTAACATTTATATTAAACTCTAATATGAGTTTAATACTTAGTAGTATGAATTTTCTTTCAGTGTATGAAAAAATAAAGAAAAAATGAGGAATGCGAAACACTTATACATAGACAATAAAGTTGATGGTATTGTTGAAAAGTGTATATATACATATATTTATAAAATATACTTGAAAATCAGTCTGAGTTTAAGATAAGTAACGTTTGCGCGTTTAGATAAAGACGTGATTTATTTAGCTCACGATAAATTCGGCAACACGTAATTCCAGTGCAACCATCTATTTAACAGAAGCTTTATCAAAGTCATCCATTCGAATGTTTCGACTTTATAGCTGATAAATTTACTCTCTCCAGAGAATCGATTGAAACGCGAAAAATGTAGATTTTATTGTTTCACTTAAAAGTAGCTGCTACTATATATTTAATGGATGTATGTGTATACTTTTCTGTATGTTTGCCATTATTATATTTTTACAGCATTCATTTTCTATGTATACATCAAGAAAATTTTTGTTTCGATATTGCAAATAAAATTGTTCAAAAAAAAAAAAATAGGCCAATCAAAAATAATGACTTTGAACCAGTTTATTTAAAGCGTGTGTGTTTTTTTGTTTTTCTTTTTTTCATTCATTTCATTAAAACAATGACTAGACAATATTTAACGTGAAATTGTCGAAAATTGTATTTACAAGCTAACCGAATTTCTAACAACTTTATGTACCGTAGGGCTGAATCAACATTGTCCCACGTGACCATAGTTATACCTACTGAAACAGAAACATAACCAGAGAATTGTGTTGTGTGTGTTTTGGATTTCCAAACTTCAATGCTATATTATTGGTAAAGTTAATAATATCAAATAGAATGAGAGCTGGACTAATAAAATAAAAGTCACCATTAAAAACTAATGAACCGCATCTAAATAGAATTTTAATAATTATTTTCCATTTATATTTTATCAGAAACAAATTTATCTAAATCTAATTAAATAATTCATTTTAATAATTTAATTGTAAAATTAATTTATAATTGATTAGCATATCTAATTAAAATAATTAATTAGATTCCAATAGACTCAAATAATTAAAAGAACTTTTATCATTTGAAATTGTACTGAAAAAAATGTATTTGATTTAAATAATCGGTTACTTATTCTAAATTTAAATTAGTGAGAATTCGTTATCTAATTCAAATTAGTAGAAATCACTAATTTTTAGTAAAATACTATTAATTGATTTAGTAATATTTTTTTAACTAAAGTTTTAGTAAAAAAAAAGAATTAGTATAAATTTTTACTAATTTAAATTAGTAAACAAATTCTCACTAATTTAAATTTGGAGAGTAAATAATTCAATTAATGTCACGGTAATTGGTACAAACTACCATTCAGATATTACGTGCCGCATTGAAATTGCATTCAAGATCTGTAAACTTGAAGACATTAATGAGTCGATGGCCCCAAACGGTCCCAATGGGGCCATTGACATTGAACATGATATCCCCACCTGATTTCTGCAACACTATATATAGGTACATACCTATATTATTCTCTAGAAACCATCAATACTACAAGAATGTAAAATACATCATTTACAATAAAATCATGACATCAGCTGTCAAATGAAAAAACTATTTTCACCAATGGTCTCATAAAAAAGTACTTTCTCGGCTTTAAACTACTCTGGGAAATCTATAAAAGGAGTTCTATAAAAGCCATTTTATCAATGATAAAACCCTGTTAATTCACTGCACCAATTATTTCACGTTTAACAACCAATTATCTTTCCTTTTTTCTTTATTTTTAAAAAGGAAATATATAAATAAATGCATATCAAGTAAAGCCAATTAATTAATTAATTAATTTAAATGGTATTAAAACTTTTGTTGAAAAGGTAAAAAAAATTTAATTTTTATACCTACTATTGTCTATTAAAAAAAATTGTTAATTTTATTTCCTCTTTTATTTTTAATAATTGAAACAATTAATTGCAATTAACTTACATGATAAAGAATAATTTGAAGCCTATTCATTTGTTAAAAATAAAAAAAAAGGTGTTTATTTACAGAATGAAAGAAAAACAATAAATTAGTGGAAGATTAAGTGACAAATGTATAAATAAATTTAAATAATTTATCAAAATGAGTATATACTTTTTAAAATAAAAATTGCAATAAATTAAATTAATTGCAAAATGCAATTTCCAACGTAACATTTTAATAAAGTATTTATTAACACACATTTTTCACAATTTATTAAAGATACTTAAAATGGAAAAATAATATTAAAATAATATTGTTAAAGTTATATTGTTTTACAACGGAAAAACATGTTTTCTTATTTAATATTTATTGGGTCAGAATTTTTCAAACGGATCACCTGAATTTAAAACGATAAACGTATTACCGACCGCGGAGTACACTGCCGTAGTACCCGATTTCGCCGCGCGAGCTGCATCGCTGAACTCTCCCACATGCGCTCATCCCACCGATCGCCTATATAAGCTGCGCTTCCGCAGAGAATCGTCACTATCGTGCTTCACAGAGTCGTGGAGGGTCTTACCCACCTGACAAGGGGTTTTACCCCGAGGAGTCTTACTTCAGGAGTTTTACTCTGAACAAGTATCGTAGAGAGTTTTACCAGGCCCGATCAACTCCATTGAATAAAAATGGCAATGATCAGCGCCTCTACCACCAACATAGCAACTAAATTTTACCCAGCTTGTATATCTATATCTATTGTATATATAGATATACAGGCTGGGTAAAATTTAGTTGCTATGTTGGTGGTAGAGGCACTGATCATTCCCATTTCTATTCAATGGAGTTGATCGGACCTGGAGTTTTACTCTCTATTGGTTTCAATGTATTACAGTGTAAAGTAACGTAATGTAAAGTAACGCAATGTAAAGGAACGTAACGAAATGTATAGTAACGCAATACTGTAATTCACGTAGAGTATTTTCGTTTTAAGATATACTTAGGAGTTTTACTCTTAGTATAATTTGAACACGAGTTTTACTCGTGGTTCACCAGTATATGGCGGATTTTTAGGCAGTATAGCATTAGATTCCACGGCTCATCGTATCCAGGTTGAAGCAGATATCGTTAATTCGCGGCTCAAATAAAGCGGCTTACTAGATTGATGCCGATATTTCGATTCCGCGGCTCAACGTATCACGATCAATGCCGACAATCTTTGCTTGAAACCGACTTCTGCGATTTACCTGTTACGCCTGTAAATTTTTCGACACCTGTAAATATATTATGTAAATAAATAATTTGTTTTGTAATTAACCCTGTTATTATTTTTGAAATTGAATCAACGAAACCTGGCTCGGCGAGATAAAAATTGATTCTCTAATTACAAACGTTACAATGTCCTGAGTAAAATTTAAAAATTGTTATATATTCCGCATACAGAAAAAAATGGGATTGTGGTGCAAACAATTTTTGGATTGTTGTCAGTAGATTTGTTGATATTAAAATTCGAAATGTTAATATTACAATTCGGATTGTTGTCAATACAAATATATGTTGTTTTAACAACAATACGAATTTTTTGTTGTCAGTTTTGTTCAGTTTGCAATTACGTACAGTTGCAGAAGCAAACTCTCTGTCGATTGTTGATAAATAACAATGATAACAAAATGTATATTAAATATTATTTAACAACAAATTTCAACTGAAAATATTTTTTTGGTTTCAGATCAAAGAATTTGATTCAGAAACTGCATATTCCACAGATTTTAATGCAAATTAAACTGGTGATATGACCTACAGAAATCTGCTATCGATTATTTTAGAAGGAGAAGAAACTGAACAAATTGTATTAGACGGATCAAAGCTTTGTTAATAAAACAAATTGTATTGCCGATTTACCAATTTAGTTTTGTTACTTCAACTGTTCCATAACAATTTTCTTTGTTCATCAAACAATTCTGTTTGTTCACTGAACAATCCGAATAGTTTTAATAACAATCCTATTTTAACAATTTTTTTTGTCCCAAAAACAAATAGAACTACTGGTTCTATATTTTTACAATGTGGAATGGTTTTGTGGACTTAATTTTTAGTAACTACAACAATATTTTTTCTCCGTGCATACATTTCTAAGTATAAAACCGTGGAGAGAAAAAAATGACACTCAATTGAAAAAATTGCATGTAATTATTATTTAAATATAAATAATAATTATAGTTATTGAAAATAAATAATTATTATAAAATAACTCTTTTTCTAAACTGTTTTTTATTAATATTTTATAAATAAACAATTTAAAGAACTTTTTAAAATAAAATTTTTTTTTAAAACAAAAATTATTTTTCAATACTACATTCCAAGACGAGAAAAATCAATATTTTTGTTTTTAAATTTGTTAACAGGATCACGAGAAAATTTATTTTTTATTTATAACAGATAAAAATTTTAATTTGTTTATAACTTTAATAAATTTTTTTTTTTTGTATAATATTTTTAGAAACTTACTTTGATTATAAATAGAAGTATATAAAACGATTGAACATTGAAAATTAATTACGTTTTGAAAATTTTAGATGATCTGTTTGAGAGATTCTGATGCTATATTTAAATATTAAATTATTAAAAATAGTTTGAAATTAAAAACAAAATATTGTAAATTTTAGTTTTATTAGAACGACAAATATAATACACTCTCCTTAAATGGCAATATTCATTAAAATAATCTCACGAAGCAACGAGAATGATGAAAATTGAAGTGAACCAAAATTTTGTTAAAATAACTCTATTAGTAATTAATACAAGTTAAACTCTCTCTCTCTCTCTCTCTCTCACTCCCTCTCAAGTTGAGAATGAGTTTTACATTAATTTGTGGTAAACGCTTGCTTTCAATCGGCATGAATCAAGGCTTCGCAATTAACTTCCTCTTGAAAGAGCTATGCTCCAAATCCATGCCCAAACGAGAATATAGGCGCGAAAACCGAGGGTTGGAGGACGAATTGTGACTCACTGCTAGCGTTCACAGAAAATGCATTTGCCGATATCACTCGGAGAGAATGAGTAATTTCGTGGTAGTAAATAGGCCACTGACATTAATTCCAGAGGGGAGATAATAAGAGAGCATTATCATCTGCACAAGGCTTGGCTTAAAGAAAGAGTGGAAAAAAAATCTTGCCAGGTTTGTGTTAAAAAAAAGAAAAAAAAAAGAAACTTCCCTCTCTTGCAATTACTTAACCCTTCATTATCCTCGCGAAAGAATGCACATTTTTATTCTTTATTTCGTTGCTGAAAATTACTGTACCATCTTGTATGAATTATTAAAATACAATATATATATGGGACGTTCTTTGTCAACCGGACCACCCCATCTCTCCATAATTGGTTTAATTTAAAAAAATTTTATAATATTGGAAAAATTAGCTTGGAATGTCTACTTTTTAATCCCGTTGGGCGCTTTTTGAAATTCAAAATGGCGACTTAAATATGGCGCCTAAACGACATAAAAAACACAAAAAATCCACTAATATAATCTATATTATTGTTTAAAACTTCACATATGACGATAAAAATAACCACAACATAGTTTACTTACAAACTGATAACGTATCTCCATTCAAAATTCAAAAATTCAAAATGGCGGATTAAATATGGCGGATAAAATTAAAAATTGAGCTAGACTCGTGAAAATTACTACTTGGGGGTTTTCGAGGTCGCTGATTACGAAACCGGTGTTAGTTTTCAAAAATTCAAAATGTCGGAGCCAATATGGCGGACCAAAAATTTTAAAAATGGAGCTAATTTCGTAAAAATGTCTACATAGGGGTTTTTTTGGTCGCTGATTACGAATCCGTTGTTAGTTTTCAAAAATTCAAAATGACCGATTCAATATGGCGGACAAAAATTGAAAAATCATGTAGATTCGATTGAAACTTGTTACATGGGGGTTTTTGGGGTCGCTGATTATGAATCCGGTATTAGTTTCCAAAAATCAAAAATATCGGATCCAATATAATGGACAAAAATTAAAAAATCGTTTAGATTCGCCTGAAACTTGTTATTCGGGGGTTTTTGGGGTCGCTGATTACAAATCCGTTATTTGATTTTAAAAATTCAAAATGGCAGACTTAAAATAGTAGCCCAAAATTTAAATAATTGAGTTAAACCCGTGAAATTGTTTACTCGGAGGTTTTCGGGGTCACTGATTACGAATCTGCGGTTACTTTTTAAAAATTCTAAATGGCTGACCAAAAATCCAAAAAATTGAGCTAAACTCGTTAAAATGTCTACCTAAGGGTTTTTCAGGACAATCTTTACGAATTCATCGTTACTTTTTAAAAAATCAAAATGGTGAATCTAAAATGGTGGACCAAAATATAAAAAATTGATCTAACTTTTTTATATTGAACGTAAAAAGGTGCCATTTGAACTTATCAAATACAACGCCAGAAAACTTTTTATGGAAATTACGTGAGGATTATTTAATTAATAATCACAAGACTAGCTTAATTTTTTAATTCTATCCGCCATTTTGAATTTTAAATAGAGATTTGTCATCAACCATTTAAAAATTTTTTAAAACTGACATCGGATTTGTAATCAGCGACCAAAAAAACCCCTATGTAGACATTTTTACGAAATTAGCTCCTTTTTTTTAATGTTTGGTCCGCCATATTGGCTCCGACATTTTGAATTTTTGAAAACTAACACCGGATTCGTAATCAGCGACCTCGAAAACCCCCAAGTAGTAATTTTCACGAGTCTAGCTCAATTTTTAATTTTATCCGCCATATTTAATCCGCCATTTTGAATTTTTGAATTTTGAATGGAGATACGTTATCAGTTTGTAAGTAAACTATGTTGTGGTTATTTTTATCGTCATATGTGAAGTTTTAAACAATAATATAGATTATATTAGTGGATTTTTTGTGTTTTTTATGTCGTTTAGGCGCCATATTTAAGTCGCCATTTTGAATTTCAAAAAGCGCCCAACGGGATTAAAAAGTAGACATTCCAAGCTAATTTTTCCAATATTATAAAATTTTTTTAAATTAAACCAATTATGGAGAGATGGGGTGGTCCGGTTGACAAAGAACGTCCCATATATATATATTTTTTTTAGTATAGTGTTAAAATAAAAATGAAACTTTTATTTTTATTTCAAAACAACAACAAAAATCACTTCGTATAATTCAACAAAACAAGAATTTTTTTGTAAATAAATTTCCATTTTCAAAATTAATTTATTTTATAAATATACATATTAAAATTTTTCTATATTTATTAAAAATTTTAATAGTTATAAATAGTCTTTAAACAAAAATTGTATTTAATTAGAATAATTATCGACATTTTATTTTAAATATATATTTATGAAAGTTTTGAAATTCATTTTTTCTTAAAAGAAAAAAAAAAAGATTTGAGAAATAAAAATTTTTTTGACTAAAATGTCCTGGAAAGGAGATGTTAGATAAGAATATAGATAGGTAAATGAACAGCTAAACTGTGCTGAATCATGAAATTGAGTTTGTGATAAAATTGAGAAAATCCAGTGCCCATAAAGTGGGTTATAAAATTAACTCACCTTGTCTCTACAGCCATGATGAAAATAGGTCAAAATCCTTGATTGCAGGAAAGGAACAGCTCTTTTCGTTTCCAATAGTATCCTAAACACGATTTTAGATGTTCATTATATGATAAAAAGGAAATGTGAATTTGATTCGTTTTCGTGAGGGTTAAAGCTCCTTTTGACATTTGTCCACGTTATCGTGTAAGAAAATCAAAAGACGATCAAAAAAGCCTTTTAAACGCTATCCAGAATATACCTATCTATTCATATTAGATTTGCTGAATAATCAATTGATTATATTTATTAATCGAAACTGATTTTTCCTTATATTTTAGTTTTTCCATTTTTAAATTCAGCACACTGTGTTATGTCGCAACACAAATTTTGCGTTTGCATTGGTATGGCCAAATCATTTTCTCTATATGAATTCAGCTGAGCAAGGGTCAGTTTTTTGTTATCTCATGTGGTTTTTTTGTAATTTTCGCACATTTTTTCGTCTTATCATTCAAGCTGATTTAGCAGAACATTACCTTCTTAGATTGCATTCTAAACTATTATTTTTATTATTATTATTATTCAATGCTATTCACTTTATTGTTATATAATACCTTTCTTTATTTTTTATTGAATTTTTATTAAATAAATTTTAACATTATATTAAAAGATTTTATGGTATAAAAATGTTTTACTAAATCATATAAGTAAATAATAATTGAATATTTTAAAAAAATATTTATTATTTAATAAAAATTAATAATTAATATCTTAACAACAATATTGTTATATATTTATTTATTTTATTTATTTCATCCCTTAAACATGAGTGGGCAATACATTATTATAGTAGAGTAAAGGTAATATTAAAAATGAAATATAGAAGGATAAATAAAATTAATACTAAGTGAAAATAATTTTACGATGTTTGAAAAAATAGTTCAGTTAATTGATCAATTATTATAGGTAATGTTGAATTAAAAAGGTCGCAATATTGACATTATAATTTTTACAAAAGAAATTTATAGTCTCTATGATGCTATATACATGAGCGCAAGAAAACTAATAGACGAAGAGGCTAATTTATTAAAAAATAATTGATCTTGGAATTTTAAAGTTTAAAAAAGATCATGATAATATTATTGTAATATTACCCGCTTATTTGAAATATATAAAAAATTTAAAGTTTTTTATGATAAAGCAGAAAAAGATAATAATAATTAATTAGTCAAATATTTTTAAGTGGTTTTTAAAATTTTTTGTAATATTACTGTAATATTAAATGCTATATAGGGGAAATTATTGATGGTGGATAATATATTAACCCGGTAGGAGCACTTGTTCAGAAGACGTCCTAAGGATGTCTTTTTGCGGACGTCTTTTGGAGTTGTGACAAAAGACGTCCTAAGAATGTTCTATGTTTTGACCATTAGATTTCTTTAAGATGTCTTAAAGACGTCTTTTGTTTCAAATTTTGAAAATAGAAAAATTTTCATAAATAGATAATGTTATTTTCGAAATTAAAGTTGGACTTAGAAACTAATGAAGATAAAATTTATTGGAGTTTTTCTAAGTTAAATTAATTGAGAAGTGAGATCGTGAACTTTTGTAGAGGTTCATATTTGTCTTCAACGGCTAAGGTACTTGAGGCGCAATGTTTCAAGCCCAAAGTATCCGAGTTCGATCCCAGTTTCATAGACATTTTTTCATTAATTCTGTATAATTTCAAAAATATAAAATTAAACTTAAAATAAATTTAATACAGTATTATTGTATTTCAACTTAGAAAATATTGTGAAAGAAATGTCTGGATTGTAAAACTTAAAAAGTGTACAATGAAGAAATAAATTTTATTTTTTATCTTAACAAAGAAATATTTAAAAGAAAACATAACATGAATACTTTTACATTCCAATTCTATATGAGAATGTGAAAACATAGAAATAAAAATATACGATGAATAAGCATAATGTGCATTTGAGTCGCCGGAAAATAAAACCACAAATACACTGTAAAAAAAGAGAGTTAAATTTTAACTCCTAACAGAATTCTTTAAAAATCCCAATCTTTTGGAGTTGATGCTAAGGGAGTTAATCTAATGTTAACTCACTTTTGAAGTTGATATTTAACACCAAAATTTTACTCTCATCTCACGTTGCCATTATAAATTTCCAAATTTTTTACAGTGTAAAATTTGTATAGCAGTTGGAGTTTTTTTTTTTTTTGAACTTCGATTCGATTAAAAATTTTATGTTTGGTTTATTTACTTCTCGGCGGCTCATTTGTGGTAAATAACACCTCGCCATGTGCAATTTCACGCGAATCATTCAAGGACAAAGATTTAAATATATCACATTTTCAAGATAAAAAAAAATAACGTCCCACATGCTGACACATTTTAGATTTCTATTGTTTGTTAGAACACAATACCGCACACTTGTAGAAATGTTATTAAAATTTAATTTCCCACATATGTTTATATACGAAAAAATAAATTATTATTTAATAAATAAAATAAAAAAAAAATAAATAAAAAATAAAATTTATAAACAATTAGAAAAGTCAAATTAATAATTTAAATTAGCTATATATTGTTTACATTTTTTTTTATAAATTTCTACGATCACATGTCACAATGAATATAATAATTAAAGTGAGTATATGTATATAACACATGTGCGTAAATAATATTTGTAACTTTTCAATGCATTTTTCATAGATAAACCAAAAAAATTACCTTATTTTTAAGAGAAAAAGAGTGTGTCAAACAATACTATAAAAAATGAAAAGAGAAACACCACAGATTTAATGCGCAGGCTTGACAACGACCAGACTAACATTAGAGTAGACATGAAAGTAAGGAAGGGTGCTAACAAACACCGGCTGTTACTTATGCGCATGCGTTTTAAAGAGAAATCACTGAATTGAGAGACAGAGAGAAGCTGAATAGTCTTCCCTTACTTCTTTAATACCGTTTGGCAGACTATAGCTAAGATGATGCCATGTTGCCAAGTTTATTAAATAAAGTTGAAAAAAAATTTGCAAACGTCAAAAAATAGTCAATTCTTCTTTTTTTAAAAAAAAAAAAATTTTCTATTATTTACTTTATAATTCTTCAATATGGGCTTGTTCTTCATTCATTTATCATTTTTCTCTTGTTTTTCTTTTATCATTATGGGGTTGGGAGGAAATCAAACAATGATAAAAGTGGTGTGACGTAGTATGTGGATGAAATCTTAAATATTTGATTTTCTGATAATTCGAATTTTTAAAAATTTATAGGTAATTCGAAGTTTTAACTTAATATTTTAGAAATTGAACTTTGTTAGAAAAAAACGCTGAGAAAAATGAGATTATTGTGCAAACAATTTTGCGATTGTTGTCAGTAGATTTGTTGATATAATTCGAAATGTTATATTACAATTCGGATTGTTGTCAATACAAATGTATGTTGTTTTAAGAACAATACAAATTTTTTTTTGTCAGTTTTGTTTAGATTGCAATTCCGTACAGTTGCAGAAGCAAACTCTCTGTCGATTGTTGATGGAACAATCCGGATTTGTTCAACAAACAGGTATATTGTTCCATGTCACGTGGTCATCTTGAATTCTCGCAAACTGGCGTTCAGATCGTCGCGTCGTTTGCTTCTGGCACATGTACCACTTTTGCTTTTATTATTAGTTTTTTTTAAATGACAAAGTGCTGTTAAATAATGAATCCGGTTAAAGTGAGAAATCTATTGCAAGTGAAGTGAATGAATGAAGAGACAATTTCATCGTTTATCGGCAAGTTATACTAGGTTACTATTGAACATAACCTCACCTTAAAAAAATACAAATTGTATATTAAATATTATTTAACAACAAATTTCAAATCAAAATAATTCTTTGGTTTCAGGTCAAAGAATTTGATTCGGAAATCTGCTATCAATTATTTTAGAAGGCGAAGAAACTGAACAAATTGTATTAGACGGATCAAAGCTTTCTTAATACAACAAATTGTATTGCCGATTTAACAATTTAGTTTTGTTATTTTAACTGTTCCATAACAATTTTCTTTGTTCATCAAACAATTCTGTTTGTTTGCCGAACAATCCAAATAGTTTTTATAATAATCCCATTTCAACAATTTTTTTTGTTGCCAAAAACAAATAGAATTGCTGGTTCTATATTGACAATCTGGAATTATTGTGTGGACTTAATTTTTAGTAACCACAACAATTCTTTTTTCTCCGTGAAGTTTTAGAAAAAAAGAATTTAGAAATTATTTTTTAATTTTTAGAAAAAGTCTACTCCAATCCTTTTAGTGACTTTTTTGCGCTCCTAAGTGATGATCTATCAATTTTTTCTGAACCCATAATTATAATTGGTGACTTTAATACCTCCATGGAATTAACCTTTAAATTAATAAACTTAATTCGAAAGCTTCAGCAAATCTACAATCTTTCTCAATATTTAAATGCACAGCAAATTGTCACTGTACCAAATGATTATAACAGATATCTTGTTTGATTTTCTCGAATGTTAATTGTAAGTTAAGTTTGAGGTGACAAGAAGTGTGTATATCTTTGATTCGGCAGCTGAGTTGATTATGTTTCTTTTTCTATCAATCCATATTATTATAAAATGTAATTTCTATTTCTGGTAATTAAGCACTAATTGCTATTTCATCATTGAAATTTCACTGATTCAAATTAATATGATTTTTTCAAGATAATAAATAAAATCTATTAAGCAGTTCTAATAATCCATATTTAATAAGGGAAGAAGGGGGATTACACTGAAAAAAAAATTCTGGTTAGGCTATATTTAACATTACTTTCTAGTTATATTAACCAGAATTCTAGTTGAATTAACTAAAATTCTCGTTTAACCAGAATTCTGGTTAACCTAACCAGAGTCAAAATGTTAAATATACCCTAACCAGAATTCTGGTTATTCTAGCTAGAATTTTTTTTTAGTGTACTACTGACTAAAAATATATTTAAGCCATTTATATACGATGATTTATTTAAAATTTATAAGCATTGTTACTTTTCACCTCTGTTATATTCCTCTTCGGTCTTCCCTAATTGTCTAATCTAACAATAAGATCTAATAGATA